CACATCAATAGGGGCATCGTCCATAGAGCATGGAGGTGAAGGTCCCGCTAGATTGGGCCGTGATCAACGGTACTTGGTTCTGAGCCCCGCCTCTTAGCAGAAACAGCTGATGGCGGGAAAACGTCCAGAAGAGAGGAAGCCGGATGGTGGGAAGGTTCACGATCGGGTCTTAAGGGGTTCACCCTAGTCCTGCTCAGACAGACAGACGCGGCAGGTGCCCCGCGGAGCCGGGGACACAGGCGCAGGGCACACACGGGCCACATCTGCTCGTCCGTGAAGCCACTCTGGTGTCTCCACCGCCCTGCGAGGCGCCCACTCCAGGAGACGGGGTGCAGATGTTGGTGGCAGGGGTGGGGGCTGAGACGGCAGCCGGGGCCGATTCTTCCAGCCTGACCAGTGAGTCCCCAGGGTCATGTGGGGGTGGGGGGGACCAGCTAGCTCGAGGCACGGCTCAAGGAGTTCACGTGTGCCCCAGAGGTGGGGGGGAGGGAGGGGCCAGGACACCCCTGCGGGCGGAGGCTGGCGGCCGCGCTCTGTCCCCTGGGTGAGGGCACACGGAGGGCCTTGCTCTGTGCTCACTGTTGTATTCCCAGCCCGGGATGGTTCTGCTGAACGGACCAGGTACCAGAGGAGCAAGAAGAGACCTGGGTTTGGGGGGGTAGGTGGGGGGTTAGGAAGTGTTTCTGAAAAAGTGACATTTCCCCTGAGACCAGAAGAACAACTGGAGAGCCAACCACAGGAAGAGCATTGCAGGTAGAGAACAGCACGGGCAAAGGCCCTGGGGCTGGACGGTTTGGTGTGTGTGAGGGCAGCCCTGGGACTGGGGGTACTGGCCTCTGGGGGTGGGCCCGGGGATGCTGGAGAGGTGGGCAGAGGCTGGCCACACAGGCCAGTGTGGTGGGAATGTGCCTCAGGGGCTGCTTCCCAACGGCGTGAGCTGGGGCAAGCGGCTTAACGGCTCTGGGCCTCAGTTTCCTCATGGGCAAAATGGGGTTAAAAATAGCTACCACCACACAGGACCGGGAACGGCACAGAATATGGAGAACGGAGCCTGGCTTGTGTGAGCTCTGCAGAAATCCTCTCCCCCCACCCCTCATGGGCTCCTTCTGCATTCTGCCTGCCTCCTCCCACTTCTGCCTGCACACCCCTCACCCCCGCCCCCCCCCCCCCGGCCGATCCGGAAGAGCCTGCCCCTGACAGAGGCCCAGGGCTGCTGGACCCTGTCCCGGCGTCTAATTGGGAGCTTCTGTGTCTCTAACACTGTGACCACATCCCTGGAAAGAGGATCGGGCGTGTCTGGCCGCCGCTGCGGGCTGCGTGCGCCCCGGGGAGGAGCTGGAGCGCCCTCCTGCGCCATCCTCGGGCTCTGGCAGGGACTGCAGAGGGGAGGTGCAGCCTCATGGGGAAGGGGGGAGGCTGGGAGGCCGGACCTCCCTGACCTCGGCTCCTGTGGGCCGGGCTCCTCCCCACCCGCACAGCCCTCCCTCTCCCCGGAATCCTGGCTCTGAGTCAACCCTGACTCCTCGTTCGCTCACACCCGGGCTTCCGCAGAGCCCATCAACGCTCCCTGCAGGCACAGCTGGAGTCTGACCCCTCGTCCCTCCACCCCGGGCGTCTGCACGGCCTCCCCGCTGAGCGGGGCACCTGGCACCCGGTGCTGCTCCGACCACGGCCCACCGTGCACACACTGCACAAGGCCGACGGCTGCCTGGCCTCGGAAGGCTTCCCCGTCACCAGCGGGGCTGTGCCAGTCCTGGGTGACCTGCCCTCCCACCTCTCTCCCTCCTGGGCCCCTCCCTCCCTCCGCTGGGCCCCTGCACCTGCTCCTCCCTGGGCCGAGGACGCTCTTCCTCAGACGCCCCTGTGGCTCGTTCCCTCAGTCCACTCATGTGAGACCAGCGCGGCCCGGCCGAGACAGACGCTCCCTCCCCGGCTGGTTCTCCACCCCGCCCCGCCCCCCACCGCACGCACCACACGCTGACCTACTTGTTCATTTGTCTGTCTGGGTCCCCACCCTGGGATGCAAGTCCCCAGAGGGCAGGTGTTCTCGGCCCTGTTCCCTGGTGGGTTCCCTGTTCCCTGCACACAGCAGGCGCTCAGTCAGTACCGTGGGGTAAGCTGCGCCCGTGGGTGCTCCTTAAGCAAGAGGCCGCCAGGACGCACTGCCCAGGGCTCCGGCCTCCTGACTGACCTTTCCGTCCCTGCAGACACGGCGTCAGAGGGGTCAGCTCCTAGACGGCGCCTTCAGGCCCCGGGATCCGGGGGCGCAGGCACGTGGCTCTCCCCGCGGTGGGGGCCAGGGGGCTGGAGCTGCTGGCTGTCTGGCCACGGAACCGGGGCACGTGACATCCCATTCATTCAGCCCGAGCGGGGCTGCGCTCCGGTGGCCAAGGGCCAGGGACGCGGGGGACAGAGCTTGCGGGTGTTCCTGGCGGAGCTCGGCAATCAGAGGAGGGGGCAGCGAGCCAGCAAATGGCAAACGTGAAGCAGATGATGCGGGAGGGGATGGGCACGGGGAGGTTTTCCGCAAGGGTAGAAGGCAAGGCCGAAGGCATCACAGCGGGAGCGGGGGCGGGGCGCGCGGGCTGAACCCCGAGGGGCTCAGGGCGCACGGAGCAGAGAGGGGGAGACTTGGGGGGGAGGCAGGGGGCTGTGGGGACTTCAGGAGGAGGAGGAGGCCTGAAGGGGCCAGGCTAGAGCGGCTGACACCAGGGAGCCTCCGTGGTAGTGGCCGCAGGGCTGGCGTTCACCGTGAGCAGGGGAGCGAGAAAGCCAAGCCTGCGCCTGGGATTTCTCATCGGTGACCGAGGGGCCGGCCTGGGCGCTCTCCGAGGGACTGGACTTTCTGTGGCAGATACCTGGGTGTCTGCTCTGCGTCATCTACTGGCAAGTGCTCGGGGAGCCCTGGAATGAGGTCGAGAGCGCAAGCTGACCCACGTGGGCCGTGATCGCGCAGGGCCCCACGCTGGCCCCAAGGTGGTGCTCGGGCACCGCATCACGTCTGGGACAGAGGGGCGACGGGGGCAGGGGGCTGAAGGGTGGCTCCCCGAAAGACACACTCACGACCTAACCCCAGGAACCTGGGCATGCGACCGCATTTGGGAAAAGGATCTTCGCAGATATGATCAATCCAGGATCTTGAGTTTAGACCGTCACCAATTTCGCACGGGCCCTAAATCTAATGCCAAGGGTCCTTATGAGAGAGAAGGGGACTGGAAGCCAGGGACGCCTGGAGCCCCCGGAGGTGGGCCAGGCAGGAGGGCCATCCCCCAGGTCCTCTGGAGAGCTCACACCTCCCACGCTCACACCTCCGGAACGGGGAGAGGTTTCTGATGCTATGGAGTCCCGTCACCACAGCCCTGGAGGCTCGCACAGCAGGGACCCCAGGCGCACTCATGTCAGACCCAAAGACGATTTGGTTCAGGACCACTTTTCTCCTCCCAAGCTTCAGGTTCCCGCCCGGCTACCCACCTGCTCCCAGTCCAGGGTGGGGGGGGGGGGCAGCGGCGGGGGCAGGGGAGGTGGCTCGGTGGGGGGGTGGCGGTCAGCACCTCGGTCCTCTGGGAGCACATCCTCAGCTTCCTGTCTACCCGAGGTGGAGTTGCCAGAGGCTGGGGGCCCAGGGAGCATGTGAGGAGTGGCCTGGCTCTGCTCAGCCTTATCTGCCCTTGGCCGCTGCCTCAGAGCCCCCAGCGCCTTGCCAACCTCGGAGGCCGTTTCTGCTGCTCAGGAGCACGTTCTCACCATCACGGGCGGGGGACCCTGGCATGAGTGAACACGGAGGCACGCTGCTCCCCAGAGAGCTGGGTGGGGCAACGCCCAGGGCCAGGGATGGGAAGGGGGGCACCGTTTACAGACCCCTCACCCCGCTCGGCACTTCACCTGTATGACGTCACAAGGCGCCCTGGCCTCCCCACCAGGGAGCTGCAGTTACAGGATTTTACAGACGAGGGAGCAGAGGCTGGGGGCCCGGGGCTCAGGGGAGCGGAGGCCAAGAGCCGGGCTAGAGCAGGGCCCCGGACTGGACCGGGGCTGCCTGAGGCCTGGGTGCCCCCAGTCAGCATGGGGCCAGGCCAGAGCCTGGGTCTCCGGAGGGAGCTGGGGCCCAGGGTTCTCATGGGCGGCCAGGAGTTGTGGGGAAGGATCCGGAGAGAGCCGGGTTCCAAGTGCAGCCCGCCCTTCCTGCGGGAAGTGGGGGCAGTGCCCTGGCCAAGGCTTGAAAGGGGTGAGCTGGACACAGAAACGCAGGTCAGGGGCCCAGGGAGGCCGCGGCGTCCCTGGCTGTGGGTGGGTGGGGAGGCCGGGTGGGCGCCTACTCTGTCCCTGCAGGGCCTGTGGTCCCTCTGCGGATCGGAGGCTCGCACATGGGCTATGCGGCCTCAGGGGAGCACTTCCTACCATGTGTGAGGCTCTGGCCTCGTTTCAGAGGCTCTGGGTCAGGGCCCCAAAGGCCTGTCTTGGTCAGCCCGACACAGAGCCAAGGTGAGGGGCCAAGACCCAGGACAGAGGCCCGAGGAGTGGACTGTCCCTGGCGGCCCGCTCTCCCTGGCCCCAGCTCGGCTGGTGGAGGGGGCTGGGGAGGGCCTCTCCTGAGAAGGGTGTGGGGCCGGGAGGGGTCGGCGCCCCGAGAAGAGCCCCTGCGCCCAGCTGTGATGGGGCCTGATGACAGTCGATGCCCTGTTTCGAGCACCTTCCACACGTGTGTGCGGGTATGTGCTAGGGACTCTTGCAAAGGAGCTCCACACACTCCCAGCAGCTCTGTGTGGGAGGGACCAGAGTTCGCCCACTTTACTGCTGGGGACACTGAGGCCCAGGGGTCACAGCGCTTTCTGAGACCACACGAAAGCAGGTGCTGGGCTTCGCCCAGGCTGACTCTACAGCCCACATACTTTCTCCAGGACTCGGGGAGTCTACCTGTCTGGACCCTCCTCCTCCTCTCTGGCCCGGCTAGGCCCCCACCCCTATACCCATGGCCTCGCTGGAGAAGGCCCCCTCCCTACCTGGTGACGAACAGGCTGGGTGCTGCAGGGTGACAGGTGGCCGGTGCCGCTGGGGAGGGGCAGTAGAGCTGGTCTTCCTCCGGGCTCCCCTCCCCTCAGCTTGGATGTAGCAACAGGAGAGTGAGGGACAGGCTGGCCTGTTTGTCGCATCACAAAGTCCTGCCCCGGGGGTCAGTAGGGGGGAGCCCCAGCCCCAGGCAAGAGGGAGCCGGGTCAGAGGCCCTGCAGCTGCTCTGGTCTGGGGGCGGGTACCGCCATGGTCAGCCCAGCGCCATAGCCGGCGGCCCTGCTCAGGGCGTGGCCTGGAGCCAAGGTCGGAGCCTGGGGAAGAGCCGGTCTCCCCACGTGTGGTGCGGGAGCGGACCCAGGACCCCAGGCCTGAGGGCATCCTGGGCCTCTCCAATAGGTAGCCCTCTGGGCCCTGGGTGGAGCAGGTGTTTACCAGAGCTTTCTGGAAGGAGCTGCAAAACGAGAAGCGAGACCACAGCTCATCTGCAAAGGAGGCACTGGGGCCAGTAGAACCCAGGAGGAGCCGGCCCACGGGCAGCAGAGAGAGCGGACGGGCAGACGGAGAAGGCCTGTCCCATCCCGAGTCCAGGCCTGTCTTCAGGGGCGGGGTGGGGGGGGCCCGCGAATCATTTCGTCCATCGTTTCCAAACGTTTCCGCCCCCTGCATCCACAGAGGCTTTTAAAACACACAAAAAGTCTCCTTTGGAATGCCAGTAAGAGAAATTTCAACGGAAAAGAATTACTTTAGTCCTTTCCATCTGTTTTATAAATTAAAATGGATGCGTTCACTTAGCGTAAATTCGGTAACGGGCACAGCTCATCTGGGATGATGTCAAGACACGTCCGTAACTGGGTCCGAATAAAGCTATGTCCCGGGCTCTGTGGTCACAAGCGGTCCTCGGCAGTGACAAAATGGCAAAAGGCACCTGTGGGAAGCATGGTTTGCGTGTGCGTGGGGGTCACGGATGTAACGATGCCTGAACGCAGTCACGTCTGGGGGTCCCGTGCGCCATGTCCAGATGGGGTGTGTGGCTCACAAACGGAACCAGCACTTGGTCCTTCCAGAATCTCCCCGGCTCCCGCTAGCGGGAGGGAAAGACGGAGAGAATGTGTCTCCCCCTCACCCGATCTCTGCAGACACCCAAGCGTCCCTCTCCCGTCTAGCAGCATCCGTATCCGGAGCAGCACGGCCGTGTGCACAGTGGCTTTTTGATTCAAGGACACAGCAAGAGGCGTGGACCGGTTCTCTGGTCTCGGCTGGTGTGAGTACAGGAGTGAGGTTTAGTTGGGAGGGACTGAGGCGCCACGTGCTGGCTGATAGCCCTCTCATGGGTTTGCCAGACGCGAGGGCCTCCAAAGCGCGGGCTGCTCGGGCCCCCCTGGCCGGGGCTGAGGCCGGCGCTGCCCGCTACTGCTGTTTCCGGCACCTCTTCCTTCTCTTCAGGAGTTTAGCCACCGGCTGCTTCACTGGAGGGTGCTGGCTTCATGATCCTGAGGTCTCGGGGTAAAATCTTCATTTGTAGCCACAAGGCTGATCTGAGAATCGCAAAAACTGGGAACGAGGGGCTTGGGACGGCGGCTGTTTGTTTCGAGAAGCCGGCCCCTTTCTGTGGCTGCACAGAACTGAGAGAGAGCTGAGTTGCGCAGGTTAGAGGCTGCAAATGACCAGTTTTAGCCCGTTCTTCGGGGTGCACTTCAACTCAGAGGACTTGGGGAAAGCTGAGGGCCTGGCAAAGCCCCAAGTCCCCTGTCCCACGGGCGCGCAGGTTGGGGGCTCCAGTGCGCTAAGGTCCGATGCGTCCCATTGCTGAACAGGCTGGTTTAGCGGCAGTGAAGTAGTTGGAACTTTGGTTTTTAAGAAAGAGTTTAATCAAGGATCTGCGGAGCCCCGGAAGGTGCAGAGAGCCCGGACGGTCTGCCAGCCTCACTGCGCCAGGGGTCCCCGGGTCGAACGGGGGAGCTGCCCACTTCCTGGCCGCGGAGGGCAGTTCCACGGGCCAGGACGCGTGGCCCCGGGGCCTCCCTGCCTGTGGCTGGCGCTCTGGCCCTCATACCTCCCGGACACCTCTGGAGAACCTACCTTCAATGAGCCCCCGACGGAAACATTCACTTTGTGTGTCCGGAAATACGTTTCCCGAAGGGAGAGCTGGGCACTGTGGGCCCGTGAGGACAGAGCAGTGGTCTCATGGAGTCCTTTCCTGATTTGTGTTCTTCTGGAAGTCTTTTGGGGGCTCTGAGAGTCCTCGGGGAGCACGCCGGTAAGTCTGCTCGGTGCCTAGTCTACCTGCAATCCTTCCTGACGCTTCCTCGTCTCTTCCTTGAGAGGGGAGGGAGAGAGGGGAGGCAGCGATCTAACCAGGACTGAGGAACACCGTTTTGTTTTTATCGTTATTATTTGTGTTCTCAACTTGTACTTGTTGACGGGAAATCGTGAGTTTTTACTGATGACAAGGATATAAAATCACGACGGTCACCAAATGACTGCAGTTTGGGGCCGCGGGTCCTAAGTGTAGCAGGTTTGTGATGTGGGCTCCTTGTCTGAACCAAAAAGCCGCGTCCTCGGTCCTGAGGGACAGGAGGGGCGGTCCTCTGGGACAAATGGCCCCATCCTCCTCCTGGAGGGTAAATGACCTCCGATTCCGCCTCGGGGCCAGAGACCTCGCGGTGGGGGGGGGGGGGCGGGCGGCTTGGGGAAACCGGGAGCAGCAGGCTGGGGCCGCCCGGGACCGAGTGTGGCCCGCGGAGCAGGCCCCGCAGGCCCCTGAGAGGCCTGGGGCAGGTTTAAGGCCAGGGCGGTGGTCACCAGGGGAGAAGGGACAGCCGGGGCCCAAGCCCCAGAAAGGAAGGAAGAGGCAACACCGCCATCTAGCGGCGAGTGGCGGCGCCCTGGATCGGCTGATTCAGACCCTGCTGCAGGAGGCGCAGCATTTTTAGCACTGGACCATCTCTGACCCCCGAGTGACAGTGGCCTGGGGCAGAACGGGGACTCACGGCTCCTTGCCTCTCCAGCCACGGCCTGACACCATCCAAGGAGCCACCACATCTCAAGCGCCTGCTGTGCAGCAGGCACTGAGCGGGGCCCCAGACGAGCTCCTTTGGTCCAGCCCCTCACGCAGCCCCGGGAGGTGACATCGGCACCCAGGTGCAGCCAGGTGGTGGGACTTGGGGACATCGTCTGGCTTGGGAGGGGTGGGACTATGGAAGAGAATTGTCTTTTGAATCTCCTTGTGTTTAAAGACGTGGCAGGTGGCACGGCTGCTGGACGAGCAGGCCCCTCAGCCCCCACCTCTGGCCTCGGTGTCCTCAGCTGTGAAACGGGGACAGGGGTCCTCCTCCACAGCCGGCCGCAGGGGCTCCACAACACGCAAGCCAAGGCCCTGATTGCGCCCGCAGGGAAGGGCGCTCCCGCGGGGCGGCTGGGGTCATGGCCCCTGGGCAGGAAGTGGATTTGGATCTGGGAAGGAGGGCGTGTCCTGGTCCGACACGGTGCCCCAGGGCAGGATGGTGTGGGGAGAGCCAGGGCCCAGGGCCAAGGCAGGCCGGAAAGACCCGGTCTCTGGTCTCTACGGAGAGGAGAGGCTTCGGGCCAGGAGCAGCCAGGAGCACAGCAGGGTGAGGAGTGCAGTCAAGGCCAGGCGTCCCTCTCCAGGTGTCTGGACGGGAGGCGGCCCTGCGTCCCGTGTGCCCTGTAGTCCAGCCCGTGCTGGTGGAAGAACCAAGCAGGACCCCGGCCCTCAGGGAGCCTGTATCTAGGGACACACACACACACACACACACACACACACACAAACGTGCCTCGCTGAGAAGGCTACCAGAAGGGACAGGTCCCCGATGTGAGGACAGCCTGTCGGGGAGTCAGGGACACTTCCTGAGAGAGGAGCACTGGACAGGGAGGACCTTTCAGGCCGAGGGAACTTCATGCTCTGGGCACAGGGAGCGTGTGGAGTTCCGGGCACTGAGAGGAGGTGCAGACGGGAGGGCTCGGGGCAGCTCTGGGAAGACTGCGTGTGTGAGAGAGAGAAGGAGAGGAGGGGGAGGAGGAGGGAGGAGGAGGGGGGACGTGGGGGGGTAGGAGGACAGGTCTGATTTGCCTTTCAAAATGGTAGCTGGGTGCTGAGGTGGAGGGAGACCTGGGAGGGTCCTGCATAGACGCAGGCCAGCGGGGAGGCTACTCCTGCAGGAGATGAGGCAGGAAGATGGTGCAGGCGGGATGTGGGCGAGCCTGGGGACTGCACCGTCCGGGCTGGGTTACGGGCTGGATGGCTGGGGGCGGCCTCACAGGGAAGGGGTGGGGGAGGGCCCGCGTGCAGCCGTGGCCACGCGGAGTCTGCAGTAGGGCAGAGACGTGCGGGAGAGCTTGCGCCTGGAGCGCTGGGCTGTCCACACACACACATACACACACACACACACACACACACAGTTACCAGGCAGAGACGTGCGGGAGAGCTTGCGCCTGGAGCGCTGGGCTGTACACACACACACACACACACACACACACACACACAGTTACCAGGCAGAGACGTGCGGGAGAGCTTGCGCCTGGAGCGCTGGGCTGTACACACACACACACACACACACACACACACACACACACACACACACACACACACACAGTTACCAGGCAGGGCTGAACCATGCACGCAGCACGAGCCGTCCAGCACGCAGCACGAGCCGTCCAGCAAGCAGCAGCGGGAAGGTGGGAGGTACGTACTGAGCCCTACTATGCGCAGGCACCACAGAAAGACCTGGGGCTTTCGGCCTCTGTCCCAGCCTCTACTAGGCTCCCCCCTCCTCCCTCCTGCCAGGAACGCCTCTAGCCTTTTGGCGGCTCACTGTTCTGAAGAGCAGCCGCCAGAGGGCGCCAGAGAGAGGGCGGGCCTCCAGGGGGACGTGGTTTCCTGTCTCCAAGCTGGGCCGTCACCGACCTGCCCTGGCCAGGGAGCCGGGGGTGACCAGTGACCCAGGGAGGCGGCGTCTGCGGCCGAGGCGGGCCTCCAGGACCAGCGGGACCGGCCGAGCAGGGGCAGGAGGGGAGGCGGGGCCCTGGGCGGCAGGCAGGCCTCTCCGGGGTTGGCAGGTCCACACACTCCACTGTGTGCGGGCGGCTCTCCCTCTGCTTGCGGCTTCTGAGCCCCTGCTGCGTCTGCCCAGAGCTGGCTGGCACTGGGCATCCGGCCCTGCCGCGCAGGGGCGTCAGCGGGCGCTGCAGTTCCCCCATGGACTCCGGCGTCAAGCCCAGAAAGAGAGGAGACCTCTCAGCTCCTGCTCTAACTGAAACCCGCCGCTCAGATTTCCCATCGCGCTTTCCCGGGGGCATCGACAGCGTTTTGCAATGACTGGAACATTCCGATCAGCAGGCTCCAATCCCCAGGCCTGAAAAGCCCCGATAGAGACAGAAGGTCTGGACGATCACACCCCACACGCCCCCTTCCCTGCCCTGGACCACTCAGCGCTGAGCGGACACGGCCCCCGCCCCTGACCACGCTCCTTGCCTGTTCTGCACAAACCCACCCCCCAAACCTCTTCCTGCAAGACTCTCCCTGTCCGTCCTGCGGGCGGAGCGGTGGGTTGTTTCGGCTTGAGCCTCCCGTCTCCCGGCCCCGCGCTGCGGGCACCCGAGTACATTCATCTCCTGAGTTATTGCTTCTCTTGCTCAGCAACAGTGCTGGCAAACGCAGCCCGGAGCTATGCTTCCGATTCGCCCAGCCCCTCGGGACCCCCCGGGGGGCAGGCCCGCGGCAGCACCAGCCTTACCTGCTGGTTTGCAGCTGGGATAGATCGCTAACGAAACAAAGCAAAAAAAAAAAAAAAGTGAATCACGTCAATGATTTACAGCGTGGGAGAGTCCCGCCCGGGACCGTCCCCCTTTGCCAGAGCCTCAGTGTCCCGACGTTGCTTGCCCTTGGTCGCCTCGCCTGCCCTGCCTTCCGACTGTCCCTGTTCACTCCTGCTGGGTGGCTGGGCGCCTCCTCTCTGTAGCTGGTCCCCGGAGGCGGGTCGGCACCACCGTGGGAGAGCAGACTGGCCCTGGCCAGGCCCCAGGCCTCCCGCTCGCTCCTCCCTCACCAGCTGCTCTGCCCTCCCGGAGCCTCGGAGCCTCAGTTTCCTTATCTGTAAACGAGAGACTCTCCCTCAGGCGTCAAGGCTGGGAGGTGAGGAGACCATGGGGCCTGGGGGCAGAGATAAACGCTATTTCTCGCTGCTTTTCTGGATGCTCAGAAATTAGCGAGGGGAGACATGCAAATACATTTGGAAACAAAAAACAGAGGCAGAAAACAGACCTGGGATCCCCTCCATCGATTTTGCTAAATTGCAAATAATGTGGAAACGGTCTGGTGAATGGAGGCCATGGGGCCACTGTCTGTTCTAATAGATCAAAATGGACTTGCTATTCCGAGTGCTTTAGAATCCAGTTAGAAATCTGAGAGACGTCCCCTCCATTTAAATCTTAAGTACGCCTTACGCTTAATTTCAAGCAAAGCCCAGAAGGAGCTGATCCTTGCAACAACGTTCTGAGAGTCCCCCCTTTCAAGGCGCACAGAGTAAGGAGAAGGCCCACCCCCTTGCTGGGGTGTGATGCCCCGGATGCCCGAGGGAGGGCAGAGCTGCGCACGCCCTTCATGGCTCTTGGTGGGATGACGGTGGAGGTCCAGCCCTGAGAGAGGACAGAGGGAGGAAGGGCAGGGAGAAGGGGAGACGGGCGACGGAGAGGGAGGGATGGCGGAGAGGGGGAGAAAGAGCAAGCAGGCATCAGTGACTCCGGGCCTAGGAAGTCCTCCCGCCTCTTCTTCCCCGGGGAACAAATTACGCCTGTTGGTCACCTCTAGAAATGGTCAACAGAAGCCAGAAAACCGCCACTCTAGTTTCCAAATAAGGGTGACAGGATCCGGAACCTATACCCAGGTGAACACGACGGTGGCCCCTCCTCGGGGCTTCTCGGCAGCCCTGATGTAACTGTGTGCTGGTTCCCGCGTGTACAGACGGGGAGACTGAGGCAGAGTGAGGCCAGGTGGCTCCGACCGCTAGGCCACGCACTGCGCTTCAGAACAGGTCGGTCCCAAGTGCACTGGCACCCGCGAGTCAGAATTAATCCGATCTCCGGCAGACCCCAGGACTCAGCCTGCGGCAAAACCCTTGTGGGAGGGATGGAGAGACGAGGGGTGTTTCTGAAGCACAGACCCCAAAGCAGGGAGACAAAGGTACTGGAGCTCAGACCACCGTTTCAGGGGGAGGGGAGCAGAGGCTCCCGTCAGACGGGGAACAGAGAACAGCTTCAGGCCTGAACCTGGCAGTCACTTACTGAGCCCCTCTGTGGGCACTTCACAGAGGACGACACTGTGGTCCAAGTGGATGCCCAGGGTTCCCTGAGAGCAAGTGGGCTGGAGCCCAGGTCCGGGAGAAGCACCTACACCCATGACGCCTCTGGGCGCTGGGCAGTGACCCGCGGGATGGAAGTTCACGACGCCAGGATCCGGAAACCTGCTGCCGCCCCCCAAGCCCACCGCGGGGACACCATTTTGTAGAGGAGAGGGTACGTACGCCTGGACAGTCTGGTCGTCCGTCCCAGGGTGCAGGGAGCTCGGCCCTTTCGGCGGCCTCTGCCTTCTGGGGGCTGTGGGGGGAGGGGATGCACAGTGGGGGTCCTGCGGCACACAGGGTGTGAGCACAGCGTCGGCTCAGTGCAGCGCGACGGGGCAGCCCGGCTCCCCGCTTCGGGGATTTGGACTGTGACCCCTGGAGACAGGGCACCCAGCCACCCCCATTCCCACCCCGGCAGGCTGTCCGGGCTGCTGAAACAAAGCGTCACCAACCCTGCGGAGGCTGGAGACCCAAGGTCACAGGGCTGGCACGGCTGGGGGTGGGCCACCCCCCCATGTAACCCCACATGGTGGAAAGGGCGGGGACTCTGTGGGGCCTCTTGTTAGAGGCACTAATCCGCACACAAGGGCCCCACCTTTATGTCCTAATCACCCCCTAAGTCCCCACCTCCTAATAGTGTCACCTTTGGGGGTTAGGGTTCAAATTTGAATTTGGGGGGGAGGTACAACATTCAGACCACAGCACCATCCATGCCTTCCCACCCGGCAGCCGGCCCGTCTTACACAGCACTGGCCAGGGGTCAGGGGTCAGGGCACGAGGGGGGACGGAGAAAAACCCCTGGGTATGGCAGGGGCTGGGGGCTGGGCACACGGCCTCAATAGGCTACCCTGTCCGCTTCTGTGTATTTGGTCTGGAAAGTTCCGCAAAAGGAGGCTAAATAACTTGAGAGGGTGTGAAGCGTGGGGGGTAGGAATGGGGCCACGGGCGCGCCCACCACACAGAAGCGGCTCACGCATGGACTCTCCCCAAGGCCCTGGAGGGCAAGGGCCCTGGGCCTGAGTGGTGCTCCAGACTCACGCACTAGGTGAGCTCGGGGCCAAGAGGGTCAGCCCCGGAACGCAGCCCCCAGGACCCAGAGAGAGAGAGAGACTTCTAGTGGCGGCCACCGGCTCGGTGTTCGTGATTGAGCCACAGCCCATGCGGGTGACGCAGAGGGCCTGGGGTCGGGTCTGGAAGATGAGGGGCCTGGAAGGCCGGGGGACCCGCATGCAGGAGTGAGGACACGCCCTCGGACACCCCCACTGCTCCCACAACCCCAGACCTGCCCCTCCCTCCTCACGGGACCCCCACACATGCCCAGCTCATGAGGGTGCGACTCTTGGAGGTGACCACCACGCCGACTTCAATAACCATGTTTAAGGCTCCGTGGAAGAAACTTCCGTGCTATGAGGTTCACGAGAAGCCTGCGGTGCCGAACTCTCAAAGCCCACAATCCGCCTTGAGCCCTGAGCGACAAGGCCTTGTGTGCTCGACAATCGTGGCGAATGGCGTGCAGTCATGAACACCTGCGTACGTTCAGGATCCCCGAAATTTGAGCGAAAGGCAGCACGGCCCTCCGTCCCTTGGGAGCGAGTGGAGAGAAATGGCTAAGACAACCGTGGCTGATTTACGCTCTAAGCTTGAAGGGACATCTGTCTCACCCGGGCCACCCGCCGAGGTCCTTGTGAGGCCGACCGGTGCACCCTGGGGCCATGGCCAGCAGAGGCTCTAGAGCTTTCTAAAGGTGGGGGTGCCACCCGCCCGCTCTGGCAGGGGGCCAGGCCGCTCTCCTGGGAACAGCACGACGGCCCCACCCGGTGCGCGTCCCCCTGCACCACCATCTGGCGCCAGGCGCCTCACTCTCTCGCGATGGGAGGTAGGACACGGCCTTCCGGTGCGGCCTCTGCTCCGGGCAAGAGAGCACGTGTTAACTCTGCTTTACTAAACAAGCCTCTTTGGATACATAACCCCCCACCCCCGACCCGTCCGGAAAACGATCCTGTCCTGAGTCAGGGACGTCCGCTCGAGGGCCCGTCTAGAGCTTGCTGTTCTTCTGAAACTGGGCCACGAGGCTGAGCACCTGCTCGGAAGCCTTGATGCTCTTTGAGCAGAGGTAGCTGGTGCTGTTGCTGGCCGTGTCCTCGGGGTAGTACCGGTAGTTGACCATCAGGCCGCAGGAGCCGGCGACGCCCTTGGGGCTCGGGTCGGCCAGCCAGTTGATGCGCCACAGCACGGCCCCGTTCTGCAGGTGGAAGTTCGCCACGGGGTTCAGGGCGTAGCCCCGGTGCTTCTCTCCGTACAAGTACCAGGCGCAGAGCCGCATCAGGGGGCCCTGCAGCGCCCTGACCAGCTTGTCCGACTTCACCCACTCGCTGCCGCTGAGCGAGGCCCGGAGCGCCTCATGAACGGGGCCGCCCAGGATCGCCGAGATCTCGCTACACTCGGAATCTGTGAGCAGTTCGCTCCGCCCGGCCTCCTTTGCTTGCGTGTTCAGGAGCCCCAGAAGCCACTTGGTGAATCCAGGGATAGGAGACAGACTCGAAAACGTCCCAAGATGAGGGAACTCTTTCTGCGGGGCACGGTTGGTGGGGGGAGGAAGGTGGAGAGAACACACACACACACAGGTCAGCGGGTGGGTCGCCGAGACAAAAACGCCCGTCCGCTTACATCCACGCGCTGTGAGCGCTGCGTGCTGCTGCGCGGTCTGCAACGCACCGCCGGGGGGCGCTCATTTTCTCCTTTCGAGGGGCATCTGTTAAGACCCTGACACATGACAGGCCCTAGAAGGATCCTGAGTCCCTGGGGTGAGCCTTTACGATGGCCTCCCTGCCCATGCCACCTCTGGGAATGGCGAGTTGGGGGACCGGCCCGGAGTGAGAAGGGGGAGCTGCTGTGAAGTGGGGCCGGACACGCAGGCTTCTGACTCCACCCCCAGTGTGGCCGGCACACCAGGCCCCTCCTGGGGACAGACCTGTGGCCACAGGGCCTGGCCTGGGTCAGCACCAGTGACTGTGTTCTGAACAAATCATCGCTGGCGTGGCTATTCCACAGTGGGGGTGGACCGTGGGCTGGGGGCGGGGGGCGAGAAATGGGGGTTTCTTCGCATCAGACAGAACGGTTCATGTTCAGATTATAGAGACTTCTCAGCGACAGGTTTAAAAAAAGAAATAAACCAGCATTTTCTGATTAAAAATGTAATCTATGGTCACTATAGGTAAGTTTTTTTTAATGTACGATGGAAGCAAAAAACCAAAACCTCCCCCCGAAACTACCATGGTCCACAACTCTGAGATAACTGAGTCCCCAGGACGGATAAGGTGTGACTCCTCATCTGTCTCCGGTTTTTACGTGGGTGAGACCTTTAGCGTCTCTCCCTGCTTTCTGAACTTGCGTCATGAGCATTTTTTCTTTCAAAATTCAGACCCGTAACTTTAACAGCAGAGTGAGAGCAGAAGATAAGACCGCACCGCGGTGCTCCTGACCACCTGCTCTCGAGTGTCTGCCTCTGTAAACTGCGACGAACACTCTCGCGCGGAAGAGTGACACGGCCTCCTTCGGGACTCTCTCTGGCTCACAGCCGGGCGCTGGGACCAGCCAGCAGGATGGCTACAGGGCCGAGGGGCCACACCTGACCCATTCAGAAGCCAACTCTGTGGGTCAACTGCCCAGAACCCCGCCTCTGCCTCTCTCCCCAGATACGTCCCTCCCCCCGATCGCCATTCATCAACACCTCAGCGAAGAAGGAAAGGAGGAGAAACTTCTATTAATTAGACATGGCTGCTTATCGCCTCCGGGGAAGAAGGGACAGAGAGTGATTCTAATGAAGCTGACAACCAGCTGCATGCTGAGTTCTCAGATTTAAGATTGATTATGAACTTGATACAAAGCACGTCGATGTTTTAATCCCACCCTGTCAGTCTCCACGGAAGGTTTCCACTGCAGCTTCAGCGCTGAGACCACGCAAGTAAGAGGGCGCCACGCTCAGAGCTAATTAGGAGCCACCTAATTATTTTACCTTTAATTGGATTCTGCCCACGGCAGTTCCCTCAAGCCCCTCAGGAGAGAGGTTCAAAGAGGTAGACCCGAGTGAACCTGAGAACTTCCGCTGTAGGGTGGTGAGGGGCCCTTCCCAGGGTGACGGACGAAGTTATTTAATAAAAAAAAAAAAAAAAGCCAGCATGTCCGCCCCCAAGCTGCCCGGTGTCACCTCAACACTGCCTCGTGGACGACGGGGAAGCCCGAGCTGACGGGGGTTCGGGGCCAGAGCCTGGGAGGTGTGGGGGCCGGTTGGGCACAGAGTGTACCATCCAAACCGGGACGAGGGAGCAAAGGGGTGTGGCGACAAGGGAGCCGAGACGCACGTGCTCGTGGGGAGAGGCCGGGGCACAGGGCGGGAGGCCCCTGGAGAGGCTGGTGTCCTCAGAACACATGTGAGAAGCCAGCTTCCAGATGCCCCTTCCTCGGCACTGCCCTCGTCTTGAGAAGTCTCAGGGCGCCTAGGACCAGCCAAGGTGCCCTGGGCCCTTTCCACTCCTCCCCCCGCCCCCTCCCTCTAGGTCCCCAGGGGCTGACGCCCCCAGCCCCCCACACTGGGGCCCCCCCACGCCGTGCCCACCTGCAGCTCCTTGAGCACTCGCTTGACGAGGAAGGTGCCCAGCTCCACGCCCTGCAGTCCGGGCTGCGTCAGGCTGATGGAGTAGAAGATGGCCGCAGAGATCCTGCTCCTCTCCTCCGTCTCCGACGGGGGACATTCCTTCACTATGGCCTGCAAGACACCACGGTGGTCACGGCGGGCGTGGGCCCCTCGCTTCCCGCGCCTGCCCTGCCTCCCGGGGCCGGGAGAAGCCGGCGAGGGGAGCAGCCCGGGGACCTCGGCCCCTGTTCAAGGTCTTGGCTCTGGAGACCGAAGGCCTGTTCCAGTCCAAACCCCCTGGGGGTGGCAGTGCAGAGCCTCCACCGGCACCGTTTCGGTCACCTGGAAGTTCTCAACAAGCGAGGCGTGTCCCCTTGGTCTTTTCCCGGCCTCTGTGTGGTCAGAGACGGATGACTCTCCCCCCACCAGCACCAGACACAACCCGCCGCACGGCCGGCCACCCCGCGTGGGCCTGGCTGTGCTACCCCGCAGTCACCCCGCTCTCGGGGCTCTCAGATTTCTCCACGGGCCGCACACAATCCCATGAGGCCTTTCTCTCAGGAAATGTACCTTTCTGTGCCCTTTCGGTTTTGTGCTACGTGCTAGTTTTTCCTCGGGGGAAACACACGCCGCACAGGCACGCACGCGAAGTCACGCAGGAAGACCCCTAGGCCCAGTCCCTTAGCCACGGTGACTGTGTCGGCGCCGGGTTCTGGACGCGGTTTTCTGAACCTCAACACTGAAGGTCACCTGACAGCAGCGGAGCGGGAGGCGGGGACCTTCAGGGCGCCTCGGGGCAGGGACGCCTGCCTGCGCCCCCAGAACACATCTAAGTCCTGACTTCCACCAGCGACATGACTCCGCGCGGAGCCCGCGATGAGCCCTGGGAGTCCAGGAGCTTAGCTGTGTGCGGAAAGTGCGAGTCTGCGCGAGTCCCCTGGGGGGACGCGTCTTCAAGCTTCCCCCCCCCGCCCCCCCCGCCACTGCTGAGGAGCTAGGAACGTGCTGCCGCAGGAAGGTGGGGTGGATGGGGACCCCGGGCCGGGGACACCCCGGGGCCGCGCTCTGACGGACGGGGTCAGGGCGCGCCTCCGCCTTGTGTCTAGTCCTCGCCGTGTGAGGTCGCCTCCTCTGTCTTTCCCAGAATTCTGCAGGTTACTTTGTGTTCCTTATTTAAAAACATCCCTGCAAATCTTTTTTTAAAGGTTTCAAAATACAAATGAAGCTTTCTTTGGTGACAAAAGAGACGTCCCTAACGTCGACGAGGCAAAAAGCATACACGGGAGGAAGAAATCACAAGTTTTTCCAGAGCCGAACACCCAGTCCTGCCAAGTCGGTGAACAACTTCCAGTCTGTCTCACTGGCACTAGGGACGCACGCACTTCAGCACACACACACATGTGTGAGCACACACATGCACGCCCTGGGCCCGCACGCCCAGTCTCCCACGCCCAGAGCGCCTGATGAGCCCCAGGTGCCCGGCATCTCGGCTCCCTCCCCTGCCTCCCCTTCCTCGCAGGGCCCCCTGCTCCCAGCCCCTGCGCTGGCTCTTCTTCAGCCCCCACCCGCCCCGGGAAGGACGTGCTCCCTCTCGCCCACTCGCACGCAGGGCCCCGTCTCCTGGGCTCCCCGGGCAGAGCCCTGGGCCCGCCTCAGGCCCGCCACACGGTCTGTTTGTCAGTGTTGCGGCCACAGGTCTTGAAACCCAGCCCCGGGGCCCTAACGACCGCGGGAGAGTGGAAGCGGGTACCCTGCCTTCCTTAGCCACCTCTTAGCCGCAGGTCGATGCCCCAGATGAGGGCCGTCCTTGTTCCAGAACTGTCTACACCCGACGTGTCTACACTCCGCAGCTATGGCTGGGAGGCTTTCTCAGCCACTTCCACACTCCGCAGATGCCCGGCGCAACCTCTGTTACACAGGGGGACACGGCCACGTGCGGCCGGCCGCGGGCACCTGGATGTCGCTGGAGATCTCGCCGGTGAGTGCCACGTGCAGCACGACCAGGGGCTCCTCGGGGGCCGCGCAGTGAGAGAAGAAGTAACACCTGCGGTAGGGCCCGACCCGTCGTTTCATATCCATCCAGTTCTTCACGGGGTGCACAGCCTCAGACCTGGCGGGAACGTTACAAAGTTAAGGCGGGCGGACGGCTTACACATTACGGGGCCACTGCCGCCCCCATTCCCACCCCTGGGGGAGCCTCGGCGTCCACAAGACGGCAGGGGGCGCGGAGACCCCGTGACGGGAGCGCGACTCCTGTGTCCGTGGGGACCGCTTGGGTGTCGCCGTGTCCCCGCAGCATGCAGCCCGCCCAGAGCCTAAGCCAGGGAGGAGCTGTCACAACGGGGGGGGGGGGGGCTGCGCACAGACGCCATGGGGCTGCTCGGGCCAAGCGTGGGGGGGCACAGCGAGGGCCTGTGGCTGCAGGTGGAATGTCCTCACCCGCTGGGCCAGCCGCGAGCTGGCCGACGCTGCGCTTGGGGCAAACGCGGGCGCGGACGGAGGCCACTCTCGGCCCACGCTCAGGAAGTGACAACTGTGATACTTACTCGCTGATTTTCTGCAGGACCTCGCACGGCGAGTGCCAGGTGACCCGTTCCAGGCTGAGGAAGCCCGAGGAGAACCACTCGGAGAGCATGCCCTTCAGCACGCCGTTCATCTCCTGCAAGGGAGAGAGAACACAGGGCGCTGGCTCCCGGGGCCGGGCCCCCACGGGGACCACGCTGCTACGCGGGACACGAGAGCAGGCCCGCGGGTGCTTCTCCCAGCGGCTCCCTCGGCGGCAGCTCTGCGGGACGCATGCCGCCCAGGCGCCCGCACCCACCCTGCGCTCCGCCTGCCACCCACGCGGGGAGGGACCTCGCAGGGAGCTGCCGGGTCACACCAGGTGGGTTGCGGCCCATTCACCACAGTGAACGGGACTGAAACACGTGAGATCGACAGAGTGACGGCTGGCGCGCCACAAAGAGAAGGCTAACATGGCGGGGGGGGGGTGGCCCGGGGCCGCCCCCCTCGGGAACATTCTGTGATGTGCCCAAACATCATCCCTTGTCTCCCGAGAGGGGCGAGTTCTGGGTCCAGGCACCAGATCGGTGAACTTGAAGGTGCACACTTCGTATTTAACGTCTCGGAAGCCGGGATTCGTCTTGCACACGACGGCGGGGTCACCACTTCACTTGTAGCTTTTTTCCTGCCTTAGTGGGACATAAACTAGAGCGTGTCTGGCAATCGATGATTCTAGATTTGAGGAAACTATTCTCATTTCACTTACTGTATCTCATCTACTTCCAGAGGTGAGGAGTCAACAACACTACCCGAGACACGCGTGCACATAAACGTTTCTGGCGAGAACAGACCTGGAGGCACGCAGGGAAAGGCGAGGGCGCGGGAGAGACCCAGCCCAGGGTAGCCCACCGGGACTGCGCTGAACGTGAGCCGCAGGGGGCTTTCTGACAGCTCGAGCGAAGAGGACGCCCAGGCACCAGACACGGACGCTTGTTCCACAACAGCTGGTTCCCTTCCTTCCAAATGAACACAAGCCTTTTGCTTTAGGTAGGTGCACGGCTGTCCAGGTTCAAGATCACACCACAGCTAGGGTAGTCATAAGAGCGAGTTTTGGCTACTCAGATATAAACAAAGTAAAAATGACAGGATCATGCCTTTTGCTCATCTTTGTCCCTCCCACTAACATCGCCTAGAAGGTGATGTGATGGCTAGAGCTGCAGCAGCCATCCTGGGCCATGAGGTAATTTTGGGGGGGGTGAAGGCTTTTAGGGGAGAACAACAGATGGAAGTCTGGGACAACTGAGGGCATCACAGGGCAGAATCAGCTCTGGGGTGTCTGCCTCCAGACTTTTACGTGAGAGACAGATTTCTCTCTTATTCAAACGACTATCATTTTGGTTCTCTGCTACTCACAGAGGAACTGCATATTAACAGATACACTGAGCATTACTGGATAATAATAAACATCTCAGTACATCCAGTACAGAACTGACAGAGAGCGATCACCGCAACAGCTGTAAAACCTTTTACCCTGGTAAAAGGTGAAAGGACTCAGCTTTTGTCCCTTGAGGCTAAGCTTCAAGTACGTAAAGCATAGGGTTGGTGGCTCAGAAAAGCTTTCAGAATGACGTGGGATCCCTCTTTAAATGTCTAAGGCGTGCCACAGGGGTGAGGAAGGAGGTAAGCTTAGGACCAATGTGGGGGGAGGGGGTCTACAGACAGTTAGACCTGGACCGAACTTCACGTGAAGGAGAAGGGACCACAGATGCCACCCAGGGAGAGGGAACCCCCACCACGGGTGGGCATCAAGTGCAGGGCCGACGAGGACCGGCTGGTGCTGTTCTAAGGCCTTAACAGTTGGACCAGATGCCCTTTGCGATTCCCTTAATTCTCAATCCCATAACGTGGTCCCCCTCCCTCAGCTCTCTGCTCTCTGGCTCTGCCTTCACCTCCTGGGGCCCGAACATTCGGCGGCTCTCCCACGAGGAGGATGGTTAACAGACTGATGTCAAATGAAACAGAGGAGACACACCGGGGGGCGGAGAGGAGGGAGGAGCAGGAAGGGAGAGGCCTCTGCCAGGCAGTACAGACAGCTGCCCATCCAACTGTATGTACTGCCTTGGACCACAGTGGCTCTTCTTTTCCCGGGGCCTCACACGCTCGAGGACTTGCCAAAAACCAGGGGCCCGCTCCCCAGAAAAATGCAAACACATTAATCAATTTTTGCACACGATTTCTTGGGATTCGGGTCCCTTTGAAACTCATCTGTGGACCACCCCGGGGGATCATGGACGTCCGGCTAGGAACCTGAGTCCTGGACGGTGAGGACTGGGTTGGCCAAGCTCGATGGAAGACGTGCTGGCATCTCTAGCACATTCCCAACAGGGGAGTGTGGGAAGGAGCTGGTTTCGGTACCAATTCAGGATTAATTATGGAAGAAACGGCCGGGCTATGAGAGTTCCCCCTCCAAGTTCCCTTCGTTCTATTTCGGGCTGACGGCTATGAAAGGTGACACTGCTACGTGAGAGCTGGGAATCTAGGTGAGAGGGCACGCGTCCCCAGGCTCAGTGCTCAGCGGCCGCAGCTGCTCCTGCTGGAAGGCGCCAGTGCGCACGAAGCCTACGGGATCCCAGACGGCACCAGGGACACGGTGCCTCTGCCCCATGCTCCTCAATCCAGCCCTCGGCTGTCAGGTTTTCAATCCAAGACTCACATGTACAACCGCTGGTGACGCCAGTCGGCGTGGGCTCAGTTTTCTGGACCCGCCAACTCCGGTTACCTTGGAGGACACCGAGCGGAAGGCCAGCCAGCCTCCGCTTCTGGCAGAGAAAAGGTGGTCTCCCACCCTCTCTTCCGGAGTTACTGGCTCTCCAGACTCCCGATGTGTGCAACGTGGAGAGCAGCTAGTTGTCATTGCGCGGAAGCCCTGAGCTGGGCAAGGGGGCTGAAAGCACAGGACAGGGTCACAGGGCTACAGCTGAGACATTTTGGGCCCAATTCTAACTGAGAGATGCTGTGTCCCCACCCCCCGGGGACTGGGGCAGCCCTGAGGAACCACAAATAAGGTCCTTTTTCATGTAGCTAAGCACAGAATTTAGGAGAGCCAGCAAGGACCCCTGGGCTCACTGAAAAGCAGCACAAGCCACCCAAAGAGGTCGAACGACAAGGTGTCCAGCCCGGCTGGACATCACAACGCTGGCGCATCTGGCACGAGTTCAGCAACCTGCCCACTGGCCCTGGGCTTCTGCCAAGGCCCGCACACCTTTCATCGCACTGGAATTTCCACGTTCAAATCGCCATCAGGAGACCCTTCCATTTTCTAAATGGCAACTTCCCTCCAGTGCCCCTGAACTGTGGAACGGTGCTCGGACCTTCTAGAATACAGACTCAACTCAGCTCCACGGGTACTTGCTCTCTGAGAAACCCAACTCCTCAACCCCAATCAGCCTTCGGAGACGCCTCCGGAGAACAAAAGGCACAGAAAGCACGCACCCATCCTCACAGCCGGACCTCCGGTAGTCACCACCCTCGGGCAGAGGCCGAGACCCGGGCATGCCGCGCCCTCCTCTGTATCCTTATTTTTAGCAAAGCTGCACAGCCACCCTCGGAGCACCTCTTAGACGGCAAGCAGGCTGACCTTGAGCGCACTTGCTCGCCTCAGCGCGCAGCCAACACGCCCAGGGGTCAAACGACATGGCTAAAATCACCCGAGATCGTGACTGTAACGGTGGATGGCAGACAGCCCGGGAACCGGCCCCTTCCATCTCCACATGGTGCTTCTTCCACTAGACCCACTGTCCCGTCAGAGACACCCGATTGGCATCGTTCCGGGGCTCACACTAGCTGGTTCTCCTAAAAATACCACTGCATCCTATGGACCCAGTACCCACTGAGCGCGTTTCAGGGTAAATGCTCAGGGCCGAGCCTGCTGCAGCCCTCATGGAACCTGGGGCGTGTTCACGTGATGTCCTCTAGTGTGGCCGGAGGTCAGCAGGTGGCGAGGTGCCGCGTGCCCGCAGCCAAGTGTGCCGGGATCCAAGCGTCAGCGGGGTGAGCCCCGGCTCCCCCGGCACCACGGGCCACCACAGGCCCCTGGGCGTCCGAGAGTCCTGCTCTAAAGCTTCGCGTGCCAAACTTCCGGTGCATTCTAACACTGTATTCCTAAAAGCCAGAAAGTTCTAGCTGCGTTGCCTCATTAGCTTGGATGCAAAATCCAGAATGTGGTGGAAGAAACCGAATCCAAGTGCACAGCACGCATCAAGTGATTCTGGTGGTGGGGTACAAGATCAGATCCCAGTGACATTTTCTATGGACTGAGAAAACTGACCATGGAGTACACAGAAGGGAATCCTTGAGTTCAGCTCTAAAGGTGACATGCACTGGATACAAGGCCAGAATTTTCAGGAAGAGAAAGGGAAGGGCTGTGATCCAGCACTTGGAAAAGGCTTCTCACACCCAGCGTGTCTAGACCACATGCAGACACAGAGGTCAGGCTACAGTTACCCATCCTCTGTTCAAGAAAGATCTTTACTCCGCGTGACATTCTGCCTGTGGGTACGCAATGTTTCTTCCGTGTGGGGACGGTCTTGGTTGAGAAAACAAGGGAGCCTGAACCGCGGGGGACCGGCGCGGCTGGCGGCTCGGATCTCCCAGGAGCAAGCCTCTCGGCTCCAAAGAAGTCTCAGAGTCACAGCTCCCAGCTGCACTTCCCTTCCAGCCTGCGTGACAGCCACGCTAGCAAGGGGATGGACACACTCGGTGACATCTCACAGAATCAGAGGACTCAGGCCTGGATTGGACCTTCGAAATCATGGGGGCCAACAGCCTGAAACCTCTGCAGCTGTGCAGAGCCCTTCCAAGCCCTCTGGGATCCCCTCCAGGCTCAGGGCTCTGAGTGGAACAGTCTGACGTCAGGACGATTGGGAGCAGTAAGTGTGCCGACTGGTTCTTGTGGCGGGGACCTGGGAGTCTGTCCCATACATCATTCAGCATTTTGTTATGCAAGACATTTAGGGCAAGGTTCCCAGTCTTCAAGGGAGCAGAGCATCTAGTTGGGGTAGGGGAGGGGTTGCCGAATAATACATCTCAGATGCTAAAGTCCGTGGTTAAGGCATAAAATGCAAGTGAGGCACGCAGATGATAACGTCTGTTACGAAGCGCCGCAGCTAAGTGATGAACAGCTGCGTCCCAAGCAAGAATCACAGGGTAATGCGGGTTCGGAAACTTTCTGTCCAAGAGCCAGCTTGGCTGGAGAGGGGCGAGTGATGGATGGCAAAGCTGGAGATGTCCAGGATGGTTTGGTGGGTACCAAAAACACCAACAGAAAGACATGAAACGTCGATCCTTCTGGCCTTCAAGGGAGTAAAGACTGACTTGTGGTTTCAGAGAAAGTGTGGTTACCGACTGGATGGAAGTTCGTACATTCAGTCTTGGAAAGTGTAAATACAGTCACAACTAGATGCTAAACTCCTGATTTGGTACAAACTAAATAAAACCAACCCATTCATTAACTGGGTTGTTTTATCTTGCCCTTGATTTTGGAGAAAAAGGCAGATTCTAAGAAAACAAATCTCTTTTAGACCTCGTGAAGTCGTCAACTCTGAGAACCACCGTGTAGCCACAAACGACACAATTCTGGAGTATGAAAATGGGGCCTGAGTTCCAGCTGTGCACCCTGGGTGCTGCACTTGACCTTAACAAGCTTTAATCACCTCATCTGTACAACAGATCCCTATGGCTTGGTGACAGTCAAATGAGAAAGAGCGTGAAAAGCCTCTACCACACCCAGCATGTCTGCTACTAACTCTTCCCATACTAGAACGGAAGCTTCTGGACCAAGTGACCTTAGTGCCAAGATGATGCCCGGTGTAAGATAAATACCCAATGGTCACAAGTTGCATGGATGGATGGATAGGTGGATGATTTCATTCTGGGACAGGTGACATTCTACCCAATTCTCAGTCTCCTATGCAAGAAGAATTGAGTTTCAGAAAACGCACCATGGAGCGCTGGTTCCTGCTTTAAGAAAAATAAAGCATGCTTGGACTGAAGACTAAACCCAAGCAGATGGGAACATATGCGGTGTGCACAACATGAAATCTCAGCCATTCAGACTGGGCTTGAGGCAGAATCATGATCAATTCAGATCTTGGCTCCAGGGTAACACCTGGCATTATAAGTTAACCAGCCAGCACGAGTAATCAAGTCACAGCACTATAATCACTGAAATTAACCCCATCCTTAACTATACCCGATGTTTACGCATCAAGAGAGTCTCTCACAAACACCGTATCTCCCACAGCATGATGTGGTTGTAAAGTGCGCAGCAAAGAACCCCAGATTTAAGATTTGCATAGATGATCGGACACAGGTCTATTTGCTCTAGGTTCCTGGTCAAGCTTCCCCACCTCGGTATCTGCTTCCTTCACCCACATAAGAATGAGGCAAAGAACATGCCAGCATTAGAGTTCTACATAAATTAGGGCATAACCGTTCAAATAAGCACACTATATTCAACTATCAGTGATCCCTCCAGTCACCATTATTTAAAACCTACAGTATTTATTTGCATCTAATAGGCGCTCACTGTACTGAGCACCTGAATACTCAAGTACTCGATTTAGAATCATCCTATTTCAGGGCTGAACTTGGGGAAGTGCAAGACCTTGCCCAGCCATGCGGCAGAGACCAGAGACATCACCGTTGGGCATCCCGAAGGGCTTCTTAGACACTAGGCTTACACGCAGTGAGTGTGCAACTAACGTTTGCTGCCACCATCTAGGTTTCTGGAGGCTACGGGATGCTCAGATAGGTACTTGTTCAAGGATACCCCACAGCTGAAACTCCCAGCTAAAATAATAAAGACTTCGTGGAGCGCACTAACCACGAAGGAGGCGGCGTTGACAGACGTTAAACGTAGGCGGTTGCCGGGTTTCTAGTAAGCACGACACAGTCAACACTGGAGCAAGGCGGGGATCCAGAAAGCCCGGGAAGGGAGGGGACGGGGGTCAGGGGGCTGTAACTCGGGGTAGAGTGTGCCGGCTTCGGGCTGGGGAAGGTGGAGTGCTTGCGGCTGCAGGAGCACGTGACAGCTATCCCGGGAGGGCCGTCCGGAGCTCCGGGACCTGGTGCAAGGCGGGGGCGCGGCCCCGGGCTGTCCCCGCCGCCCTGGGGTCGGGAGGAGGCCCGGGCGGGGCCTTACCCGGACGTGCGGCCCCTCCACCAGCTTGAGGGCCTGCGCCTCGAGCAAGTCGGCCCGGAGCCGCACCAGGAAGCCCACGCCGCCGTCCAGCTTGCTGATGTGGTGGAAGAGGCCGCGGTAGCGCGGCACCAGCGCGTAGCGCAGCCGGTCCTCGGCCTGCAGCAGCACGGCCGCCTCCCGCGGCTGCTCGCGCAGCTGGAGCACGCCGGCGCTCTGCTCGGCCACCTGGCCGTGGTCCACGCCGAAGCCCCGCGCCAGGCGGCTCAGCAGCTCGGCGCGCTCGGCCGCCGCGGCCAGGCCGCCGTAGAAGCTCACGAAGTCCGCGCACTGGCCCTCGGCCGGCGCCGGCGTCTTCTCGCGCAGCTCGTAGGCCGGCGTGGCGGGCACGGCGCGGCGCAGCAGCTCGTCCATGGCCCGCTCCAGGGCGCCCGCCTCCGCCGGCCCGCTCGACAGCCGGGGTCCGGCCCGCCGCGACGGCCGCGGAGGAAGCCGCAGGGGGAAGAGCCGCCGCGCCGTCAGCGCTGGCCCGAAGCCTCGCATGGCACCGCGTTGGAGCTGCCCGGGGGACGCCGGCGCCGCCAGGCTTCCGGCTTCCGGCTTCCGGCGCGCGCCGTCCCCATTGGCCGAGGCCGGGGGCGCGGGCGGGCCGGCGGCCAATCGGAGAGGGGGGGCGGGAGGCGAGGCGGAGCGCGGCGCGGAGCCAAGTGAGAGCAAAGGTCGCGGCGGGGCGGAGGCGCGGGCGTGCCTCGTCCCCTCGCCGCCCAAAGTCACCGTCTGTGCCGCTGACCTCTTGCGCCTCTGCGGACGCGCCTCCCCGGCCCTGTAGCGGAGCTCTGCTACGTGCAGGTGCATCAGAGTCACCTGAGCAACGCGCCACACTTGCGGGTTCCTGGTCCGTCGCGTCTGGGGCGGAGCCAAGGACCCCGCGTGGTAATTCACTGGCTCACCGGGTGGCCTTGGTCTTCCCTCCGGCCCGTTCGTTGCCGGGGTCTGATTATGCAGGCGGCTCCCACAGCTGCAGCTCCACTCCGTCCTGAGCTCGGGACCCGGGTTTCCGGCTGCCTGCTGCATGGCTGTTCATGGATCACCTAGTGGGGCTTTCCTAACTGGTGCCCAACCTGGCCCTCCCTCCCAAGTCCTCGTTCATTCATCATCTGTTTATTCAACAGAGCCGTTATGAACCGCCTGCTATGTGCCGGCTCCTATACTAGGCACGGGAATAACACAGTGAGCCAGACAGACCCGGTGGTGCCTCATGGAGTTCACAGCCTAACGCAGAGGACATAACTACAAATTGGAATAAGTGATATGAAGGGACTGAGCAAGGTGACGTGATATGACACAGCAGGGCCGAGGAGGACTTTCCACTGTGAACAGGGTGGGCAGGGAAAGTCTCAGAGGAGGTGACATTTAAACTACGAGCAGAAGCAAGTTATGGTTTGAAGGGCAAGGGGGAGCTGACCTATCCATTCTTCCAAGTTCAGAAGCACAGTTTTATAACCTCTGCCCTGCCCTTCATCCCAACATGGAAGTTTTACTGATTTCTACTTGAAAAGGACTCCTGGATTCCTTCCTTCTGTCTGGCCCCCGGCACCTAGAGCCCAGGTCACTTCTCACCGGGGCCACTGCAGTAACCTCTTGGCTTCCAGACTCAGTCCTTCAGTCCATTCTCTGCATCAGCTGCTGAGCGATCTTGAAGAAATTATCCACCTAACTGTGTCATTCACTTGATCACACACCAAATGCTTTCGTGTAACAGGCAAAGCCCTCACCAACAGCCCCTGCTTTCCTTTCTAGCCACATCCTTCGTGCTTCCCACCTCATTTCTCTTACTCTGTGGCCTGGTGGCCCCCAGACTTGTAGATTTTGGAGCCCATTCTTGAAACACAAGACAGAGTGAGGAATGCCGCAGCCGGTGGCCTTGTTGGTGTCCGCGGTGGTGGACTCACAGTCAGTCTGTAAACCCCCAGACACACATCTATTTCTGTCTCGCCTGACCTGAGTGAGAGCTCCACCACATTAGGGAGGGTCTGGCGGGAGTTTGCAGAGTCCGATGCCAAGTTTTGCGGAGTCCAAAAGAAAATCCAGCCAAGAGCTCACTGTGCTCTTTAAAAAAGAGAAGCCTCTTCTAGGTACAGAGGATGAAGGACAGCATCGAAGACCCTGCTGAGATCAGAGGGTGGGCAGTGGGCTTTGGGGAAGGGGCTTTCTCGTTTGGGGATCTACATGGCACCTTGTGAGCTGTGGGTAGTGGAGAATGGACCCCTTTCTTTCTTAGTCACACAGTGGTTAACTGATGTCCCATTCAAGCCCCTTGGATGTCCCCGACATGTCTTTGAGGAGAGAGACGTGTGTAGGCACTGGCTACGCCCTGTACCCGCCTCTACACACTCTTAACAACACTTTACTGAGCACTTACTAAATGTCCTCTGCAGTTCTGGCACTTAAACACATTATCTCATTCAATCTTTACAATAACCCTGCCTAAACTCAGACTGCATTGAATAAATTCTAGATGGTTTAAGGATTGAGATTTTTACAAAATGAAATAAAAATAAAGTCCTATCAGAGAGAGAAAGGTCTTTTGAGATATGACACAGACCATGAAAGAGATTGGCAAATTTAAGTACATAATTTTTAAAAGTTTTTTAAATGTTTGTTTATTTTTGAGAGTGAGAAAGAGAGAGAATGAGTGAGGAGGGGCAGAGAGAGAGGAAAACAAAGAATCTGAAGCAGGCTCCAGGCTCTGAGCTGGCGGCACAGAGCTGGTCGTGGGGCTCAAAGTTGTGAATCATGAGATCATGACCCGAGCCGAAGTCTGATGCTTAACCAACTGAGCCACCCAGGTGACCTGAGTACATACAATTTTTTAAAAAGTTCTTTATACTGGGGCATCTGGGTGCCTCAGTCAGTTAAGTGTCCGACTTCGGCTCTGATCATGATCACGGTTAATGAGTTCGAGCCCCTATCAGGCTCGCTGCTGTCAGCACAGAGCCTGCTTTGGATCCTCTGTCCACCTCTCTCTGCCCCTCCCCACTTGTGCTCTCTCTCAAAAATAAATAAACATTTAAATAAATGTTTTAAAAGCTTGGGGCACCTGAGCGGCTCAGTTGATTAAGCATCTGACTTCGGCTCAGGTCGGTATCGCGGTTTGAGGGTTCGAGCCCCGCGTCGGGCTCTGTGCTGACAGCTCTGAGTCTGGAGCCTGCTTTGGATTCTGCGTCTCCTTCTCTCTCTCTGCCCCTCCCCTGCTCATGCTCTGTTTATTTCAAAAATGAATAAACATTAAAATAAAAATTCCTTATGCTTAAAAACAAGATCAAAGGACAAACACTACCTTGGAAAAATATTTGCAAGGCACATTGCATAAAACAGCTAATTTCCCTAATCTATAAAAAACTACAAGGCAGGGGCGCCTGGGTGGCTTAGTCGGTGGAGCGTCCGACTTTCGCTTAGGTCATGATCTCGCGGTTCGTGGGTTCGAGCCCCACGTCGGGCTCTGTGCTGACTGCCAGCTCAGAGCCTGGAGCCTATTTCAGAGTCTGTGTCTCCCTCTCTCTCTGACCCTCCTCTGCTCACTCTGTCTCTCTCTCTCTCTCTCTCTTAGAAATAAATAAAAAACATTAAAAAATTAAAAACAAAAACAAAAAAATCCCAAACCCCCCCCCCCCCAAAAAAAACCAAAACCAAACAAACAAAAAACCTACAAGGCAATGTGGGAAGACTGTTGGGAACCATTCTGAGCCCACTAGTCGAGAAAACTCCTGGTGAAGTTAAAGTAAGTTTGTACGGTCTCTTGCTAATCAGATGACAACCGATATCCACCCCCACTCACTTATTTCTGCTTGAGCACCGACCCCCAAGGTACCTTGCTGATGGGTATTGGGAGGGACTTGTCCTCTTATTCTGGCCCCGGTATGATGACTGCACCTTGTGAAGGAACTTATTGTGGGAACTTCTTCTTTTGATTATGGGAATAGATATCATGCCTCCAGCAGGTCCTGTCTCCCTCCATACTTGCCCTTGAGCTATGAACAGGCTAATAACCCTTACTCATAAAAGATCAACCTTTACATGTATAATTCTGTTTCTACCGTTGTGTTAGTCCAAGAGGTTCATACAGCTCAACATGTAAATCAACTAACCAAAAATGTCTCTCACGCCCTAGCTATTCGAGAAATCATAAAACTAGACACAAAGGTAACTGCACTCGAAGAGGCTATTCTATGTATTGGAAATGAGCTAAACTCTTTAAAGGTACGGTTGGCTCTCCGGTGCCATAAAGAATATAACTGGACAATTAAGTCTTGCCCGGAGACAAAGAGCCTAACTTACAGAGAAGGAACAGATAAGGGCAGAATGTAAGTTATATACATACACCTTTGCTAACTGGTGATGTATAGCAGCCCCTTCCCTAAGGCCTACATTCCACAAACCCCTTCCCTTACCCTGGCAGCTGTGATGAGGATGGATAAGCGTATCTACAAACCTATGACTTAGCTTTATTTATTTTAGTGTTTTATTATTTATTATTAGTGTTTATTTATTTCTCTTAGTGTTATAATGTGAACACCCTGTTATTTTCTTAGTTACTCAACCTCGCTGTGACTGGGGCAGTTCTGCAAGAATCCTTCTGTAAAACCTGTTTCTGTACATTTTCCAAAAACATCTTATCACAGAGAACTATCCATTGTAAACATTCCATTCTCTGATGCCATGTTAATGTTTGACCTATAAATAAGACACCAAAACGGACAGGACAGAGATGGCTGCCTGGTGACCAGAAAGATTCTTGTGGCTGTCTCCCTCCCTCCCTCGCCGACACCGTCCATCCTTCAGGGACCCGTGGGCCCGGCCGGAGCTAGACTCTGGCAGAAGACCATCAACCCAACAGAAAAGTAGAGAGGGGATATGACCAGGGAGCTCTTGGGAGAGGAAATTGAAACAGCTCTTAAAAACATGAAAAGTACTCAACTACGTTCATCATTTTAAAAGGCCAATTAAAAATCCATTGAGCTACCAGTTTTCATTTTGTGGCCTGTAATGATCAGAAAGTTGATTAGCCCCCATGCTCCTAGGCTGTGAAACAAATGCCCTCTTACATCGCTGCTGGGAGTATATCCTGGTGCCAGCCTGGTGGAGGGTGCCTTCGCAATATCCATCCACGTTGCAAACTGGCCCAGCAATTTTTACTAACGAATACCTGATCTGCTGGATGGGTTGTTGACAGATGGGATAAGGCTCAGGCACTCAGTCAGCAGGACCAGGACAATATCGGGTCCCCGCAAGGGGATGCAGAGGACCCTCTCTGATGATGGAGAGGACTCAGCTTCAAAAATCCTGCTCTAGAGTCTTCTGGCCAGTAAGAAACTGGAGTGTGGTACGTGGATTGTCTGAGCAGAAGCATTTGCAGAAGCAAGCGGGGGGGGGGGGGCGTACTAATAAAAATTGCCACTAAATAAATAAAAATCGCCACTTTTTAAAGGCTATTTGCACATCTGGGAGATGTGGGGGACAGTCATGCCTATCTCACAGGCTTGCAGGGGTTAACTCTGA